CAGATGCTGATAACAATTACCATAATACCTCCGGAGTAATGCACTGGGCACGGGGGCTACCAGTTTGAATTATGACACAGTTTTTGCCCCCAAGAGTTCTCAATGTGGTGAGGAAAAGACATGTGAGTAAATAATTATAAGAGTCAGTGGGACTTAACCAGGTGTAACTTTGGAAGACTAGATGAGAAGTATCTGCATATGGGAAAACCAGAAAGTCTTTGCAAAGGAGAAGAAAAAATTAGTTGAATTTTGCAAGATGTACACACACTTCATGAAGAGCAAAGGAGGTTCAGACAGAGGAAACTGTACAAGGCATGGAATTTGTGGAAAGGTATGTAGTATTTAAAATATGTAAAGGGTCACCAGCAAATAATGTTTGTTATTTGGATAAGAGGTGTCCCCCCAAAGCTCCTGTATTAATGCAGGAATGTTGAGAAGTAAAATGACTGGATTTTGAGAGCTGTAACCTAATCAATTCAACCTAGTTTATTTATTTATTTTTCATAGCTTTATTGAGGTAAAATTGAAGTACAATAAAATGCACATATTTGCAGTATGTAATTTGATCGGTTTTGACATGATTTGCCATATATATAACTAATACAATCAATATAAAAAGCATTTCCATTTAAAGTAAAAACTCTTACAAACAAAATTATATCATCTTTCTCTAAACAAACACATGATTTTATAGAGATACCTGAAATTTAAGAATTTATAAATATGGAAAAGATTTTAGCTATGAATTAAGTCTTAGTAGTTGACAAAATAGGTACATATGACTAAGTGGCAATTTCATATGGTTCTAATTTTATGTAGGCTTGAGAGTATCTTTGAAAATGAATTTCTCTTTTAATCTGACAATTATACTAAAGATCAAACCCAAAGGCTCTAATTAAACATGTTAATTCTAGGGCCAGAAAAATCAGGCCCAGACTTCAATGATCAAAATGGAGAAGAAGTTAGCATTTGGCTGTCCACCACTGCGGCCTCACTCTCCTTCCCTTAAGTGAGCTCCCAATTCCACTGTAGTTACTTACTATTATTATTTTTCTTTATAATATTTCATGACATCAAAACAGATCAAAGTCTGTTGAAAATACTAAAAAATGTATGTGATGACTGACAATGCTGGCAAACTGTTCCTACAAAAAACAATTTTAGTGGAAGATAATAGGATGTAATTCACAGCTATATTTAAATACAAAATTGGTAAAGGCATTATTACAAGAAACATTTGGATGCAGAACCATGATAAACACACTAAATAAAAGATATTTTGAAGGTGATTTGCATATTTATTAATTTTAAGAGGTTAAAACACCTGCAGCTTAGAGCATATGTGTGCCTTGGTTCAAGGTATCTACTAAATGCTGCTGTTCTGCTAAACCATGGAATTCTTAAAATTTCTCTGTTTAAAAAAATTTTAATTTTTGTTGAGGTTGAATATGGGTAATTTTCTTATGGTTACCTTTCTGGTTGGTTGTTTTGTTTTTGTTTCTCATTTAAGAAAACCTTAGTACCTCAAGATTACAGACACATTTTTAAGAAGATATTTTCTTCCAAAAGTTTTTAAAGTTTTCTTTTCATATTTAAGAATTTTATACCTCTGGAACTGACTTCAAACATGGTGTAAGGGAGATATTCTATTTCATTCTTCCCCCATATGGCTAAATACTAGTCCAAGGGATTTGCTGAATAGTCCATTCTTCCCTTGCCAGATCTGGAAAGCCACCTCTATCATATATCATAGTTCCATGCCTGTGTGGATTCATTTCTGCACCTTCTATTCCATTTTATTAGTCTACTTGTAATTAGATCTTACTTTAAATAAATCTCATACCATTTAACACATTATTTGAGACTATGAGTATAAGCATCATGTATCCTCTTTGTAACCTCTTAAGATAATAGTGACAATGACCTATTCATCTTTTTTATTTCTCGTGGTATCTAAATTAATATTTCTACATCGTAAGTTTATCTGCTAAATAAGGGATGATTTGTAGGTAAAGAGCCATAAATATTCTCTGCCCCCAATTTATTACCTTAACAGAACTAACTCTAAGCATGTAATAACTATGTTTTCTTATTTTCTGGACTCTTAATGCTCCGGTAGCTGGGGCCTTGCTGATAAGGAAGAAATTATACTTTTCAGGGTTAACTAATTCCTACAGATAGCAAACATCTCCACAGGAAAGGACAATGCTTCTAATGTGTAAATGAACCAATAGGGGCTCATCACCTCCAAGTACCTACTTTATCTAGCTTTAATATATCAAGTCAATATATTCTAGTTCTAATCTCTCTACAGCCAGGTACCAGGCAACTAAAGACAGCCCCTATGTTCCAGAGCCCACTGGAATTATTCACAGCAGAAATCCTAAATCTTCTGACCCTGCTTGACCTTGTTTTCCAGTAAAAATGACAATAAAAGTGGTTACCCATGTTCTGCTCCCTTGCCTCTTGACCAACCCTGGAGATTTCTGATGACGTGGCCTCTGTTTCTAGACATCTACTGAGTATAAACTTCTTCCTTCATGACCATCATTATGTGTCTGCATATCTTAATATACCTGGCAGTTCATTATTCTAAGTATTTGACAATTGGTAGGGTTATTCAATGAAAACCAGATACATTCATATTGTTTGACTGCTTTTTTTGCATGTCCTAAAGATCAGGCTAACATGAATTTTATTTTGTTCGTTTATGAAGAAACTGTTCTCTTAAGAACAGAAAGTTAAATTCAGAACTGTGATAATCCTTAAGCCTTATCATCTTACAGTTTGTCCTTTTCACAGATGACAAGATGAACTATTGAACTGAGCATTCTGATTCTATTAGTATTTCAAAGAACTAAGAATTTGAAGGAGTTAATCAAAACATAAGAATCATATGAATTACCTCACACAAGTTTATTAAATTGAGCTGTCCAATACATACTCTGAAATGGAATCTGAATTAATCTTTCCCAAGGATAGACAAAAGAAATAATCATTCAATTTTCTTTCCTTTCAGTAAAAATAAATAAGCCTGGTTCATGTTTGAGTACATTCAACTTAGTGAAAATTCAGACTTGGATCTATAGTACCATAATGATGAGTTCTTCTTGGATAATCTGTATACTGGACCAAGCCATTTATTTTAGGAATGTATTAAAACTCTCAAATAGTTTAAAGGACTTTCCAGTTGTAATTTTAACCACAACACAGTGAAAAACAGCATACAGAGCCATAACACTTTGGAAGACAGTGTCAACTTTGGCACTTATTATCTAGGGGGATAACATGATTTCTCTGAGTGTCAGTTTCTCCATCTCTAAAAGAAATGATAGGACTTGGCCTATTTACCATTCAGGATCAAAAAGAGTACCTTAAAGTTCTTATTGCATTATTAAACCCATATAAGTTTATAATGCTAGTAGTCATAATCATTATCTATTATATTAAGAATTTTATCCAATAACATTTTTATAGGCTAATTGTATGAATGTTTCAATATTACTCCATCAAGAATTTCCAAAAATATCAGAGACTTCAGTAAAATTTTCTATCACAGAGAAAACTAAAGTTTTCTTGGTTTAAAAAAAATCGATTTAGGGTAAACCATTAGTCTTTATAATTTTTAAATGATTTTTAGCATTTTTTTTAAAATTTTTTATTGTTGGTTGTTCAAAACATTACATAGTTCTTGATATATAGTAGAGGATAGGAAAGGCAGCAGAATACAACAGACACTAGTATGGCAACATGTAAATCAATGGATGTGTAACTGATTTTTAGCATTTTAATAACACTTTTTACTTAGCTTGTGCTTTATAGTTTGCTGGTATAGTTTTCATACAAGGTATCTGTGTCTGAGTGTGAATGTGGATCAGGGAGGTCTTAGCTCTAGTCAATATTTCCCACACTGAGTTCCTTAGAGGACTCATCTCTCCTCACGCTTGTCAAAACAAAAACTCAGTTTCTCCATGGTGTTCTCATTCTCATCATCCCTGTCACACAGATGAAGGAACTGAGACTTTGTAAGGTTCACAATATATGCATGCATGTGTGCACATGTAGATGGGAACAGCAAAAACTGCAGAGAGGTTCCCCTGTTCACTCATTTTCTACAATGGCCTTATCAGGTAGGAACTATCATTATTCTTACAAAGAAACTTAAGAACAGAGACTAAGTAATCAGCTCAAGGTTGCTCAGCAATCCCTTGGCAGAGCCTGGATGCAGATCAGAAAGTTTGCTACATTGTGCATGCATTAATCTTAGAAACAAAGACTGAAGAAAAAAACTTGCAAAAAATATAAAGTATTACTTTTAGGTTTAGAAATAAAACCAAATGATAACATTGTTTGAAGACAAAGACATGTTAAAGTTTTAAAGAAATCAAGGGAATTGTTAGAAAAACAAACTAGGATGCCCCAAAAAGGAAAGGAATTTAAGAAGGGCTTCTAGGAACCTCATGGTGTGGATGCTGTTTTAGGTTTTGCACTGGGCAATAATATGTCACCAGGGCTCATTTTATTACTATGAAAAATAACCTACATGTAGGTCACAACTTACACTGTCTGCATCAAATACCTTATGATAAAAAATAAATTATTAGTTAATAAGATATCTAAAACCCTTAACTTATCCTGGATTTATGACATATGTAAATTGAAAAAAATCACTCCTCTATTCCCAGAGTGGAGCAAATTCAATAAAGAATGGCAAATGGCATGAGCACCATCACTTCCTCCCATGGCAGATAGACAGTGCTTATCAACATGACAGCCTTCCTCCCACATCTGGCCACTGTTTCAGAACCCTTTCCATACCAGACTTCAAAAATTCATGACTGATAGTGAACAGGTGGCTGGCAATGCCACTTCAGTTTGGTTGGAGGTGGCACCCTCATTACCACTGTGCTCAGGGATCCCTAGGGTTGAGGCAACTAGGAAACTCTGGAATCTCCCAGCTGTTTGCACGGGTGCCTTTTTTCAAACACACAGTTAGTTACCTGTTAAGTTTGAAGCATCAGTTGGACTCAGTTGTAACCAATGGCGGGCATCAGAGTCAACCACAACATCCGTGGGAGTGTTCAGTTCTGGGTCTTCCTCACAAGTCTGCCATGGGCTCATAGACAGCTCTGCCTCATTGTTATAGCCCAGAGCTGTGTCACTGCTGGTACTATCATCTTGCAAAATAGAAGAATCAAAGTTTGAGAAAACAGCTAGCTGAAGATCAGAATACTCACAATTGCCAATAATGCAAGTAACTAAACACTTCAACAGCTGACACAGCAGGAATTGCTCAGGGGCTTGGGCAGAACCTGCAGAACTTGACTGGGGTTCAGATGGGTGTCCATATGAAGCTCTAGGTCAACAAATTAAATCTTCCAAAGATAGAGCACTCATATAGATACTATGAACTCTGCTATATATCATCCAAGTGGCATTTTTTTCAAATTGTCTTTGCTCAGTTTTCTTATACACCCCCAAAATTATGCCAAGTCCTAAAGTTTTCTACCAAGACTTATTCACCTACAAAATGAAGGTGAGTGAAGGAAGATGTTGATAACTGATTACACCACAAATGCAAGTTTATTTTGCTAAACATGTACATACTTCAAACTTGATGTTTACACTAAACAGGGTGAATCATCTAGAGCCTTTTGGGAATGAATTATCTCACTGCAACAGATTTTCTACTATAGAAACTCTCTCCTTTAAATACTAAAGTTATTAGTATTTAATAACTAATTAAATCATAGTTATACTGACTTATGAAGACTTACAGGGCTATTTATTTAATCTGACACAAAACAAATCTAAATAGTCTTCCTCCTCAAAGTCTCCTGACCACTTCCTAACAATTTTATGGGTCTACCCTTCCCTCTGGAAGCTCTTTGTATCTTCTGCTGACAGTTCCCCAACCTTATTGCTTCTAATCTGCTGTTTACTTGTAAAGAACTGAAAGTTGTCTCAGTAATCATATGACCAAGTTGTAAGGTCTCAAACTTCATCTTCCACAAAACTTTAAGCCCAAAGAGAGAAGGTAGAGCATAAGATGAGCTCCTCTGCACCCCATCAAGAGCCACTCTGGGTGTGTAGGAGTTGTTGAGGAGGCTATATTTTTTTTAGTATATGATAATATATTTCAGAATTCCAATCAAAATTTTATTTTAAAGTACTTAGGCCACTAACATCAATGTACTTCTGCACCTTTGTGTTCTTAGCCTTCTGGGGAAGGTAATTTTTCTTCTGGATGCATCTGCTCACTCAAGCTCTCAGTCCCTCTGTGACTCTCATCTTGAGAAAGGCACAGAGTTGGAAAGAAAGGGCACTCAGGTATAGGCAAATGACTAGAGCTTTTTAATTAACTGGATTAGCATTATATAATTTTGGGAAAAAGAATATTCCATTTCACAACCATGTCTCTTCAACTGATAAGATACCACTTGAATTAGAAAGTAAAAAGAAAAGAAAACACATCAACTCTGCAGTAGATGAAAGCAGACTACATTTCCTGGAACTTACTCTTCTGCCTTTCCCTACATTTTCCTTGTGTCTGCTGCAGATCATCCTTCAAGTCCAATTCAGCAGGGCTACTGCTTCTTCGAACTAAGATCTTCAGACAAAAAGAAATATTGCAATTATTACAGGAAAGCTAAAATTTGTAAGACTATGTAAAGTTCCTACTCCACATTTATAAAGAAAAAGAAACAATAATAGCAACAAAACATTGAATGATATTTTCCATTTGAAAGATGTGTGTTCAACAATTATATATTACTGAATTATATATTATTCAAGACCTGAAACTTTAATTTCTATCCTCTACTTTGTCAACTGACATCCAATTAAAATGGATCTACTAAGAAGGGATGCCAAATTATATGGAAGAAATTTATTTTAAAGTCCTATTTGTTCCTCTGGTCAAGCACACATACACAGTGAACACAATTCTCCAGAAGGCCTAACCTACCCACAAATGATGAGTATGCAGGCAGGTAAAGTGCAAACTCCTCCCAGATTACAAAAGATCCACTTCGTGCCCTTCTAGTTAAAAGTGCCACAGACATTCCTGAGCACTGCTTAAACACTGAACCTTATGTGAAATACGGAGCACTAAAAAATCATGAGGCAATCTGCGTCCTCTAAAATCTGATAATTTGCTTGGACAGACAAAACATACACAAATTACACAAAATAACTACAATGTTCATAAGCAAAATATGCAAATAAATTCTCTCTGATAATTATGTAAAATAAAGTGTTACCTTAATTGGCTGACAGTTACAGGACAGCTGTTCAAGAAGGCAATAGACAGGAAGTGGTAGAGGGAAGGCAGGAGGGGATTCAAGGCAGGAAGCACGGAGTGGTAATCAGCAAGTTCTATGTGCAGGAAAAGAAGCTGATTATAGCAGGCCATGCAGGGAAGCCACGTGAAGAAGGAAACAGGTAAGAAGAAAAGCAGACCTTCTAAAAGAGGCAGCTGCCAGTGGGCCTTAACATGAGGTTTTTAGACTTTTGGCCTAATAGTAATAAAATGAGCTACTGTACATTCTAGATAATAGCTCACTGTGATTAAAATCCTTACTGGAAAGACAAGTAGTTATCTGTGGAATAGATTAGAATGAAGAAGAAAATTGCTATAGAATGGTTATGATGATTCAGGAATGAGGGGATAAGGTTTCTGATAGTGGAAAAGGAGAAGAAAATAGAAATAAAAATGCTGCAGGATGACAGGTTAGAGCTTATGATCAAGTATATATAGGAGTGGAAGAAAATTAAATTACAAAAGGGCAGAGAGCTAGGGGACAGTGAGAAAGACGGTGACAAATGGTGAGAGGGAGGGAAATGTAAAGAAAGGAAAGGAAGAAGGAAGGGAAGAACTTGAGAAAGTTTCAGACATTTTAGTTTTTATCTTTGTGCTGAATATTCAAAGAGAATATCTTATAAGTAGGGACCAAAAATCCAGCATTGGTGAGATAGAGAATTGAGCCAGGAATAAAGATGTAAATTTAAGGGTCTCCACTGCAGAGGGTATTTGGGGCGTGGGGGGAGGACAAACAATCTGGGATTTAATTAACCAATTAAAGGGATAGATATTAAATAAGCAAACAAATTTTTAAAAGGGGACCAAGAAGTATAATGAAAAGACAGAATGATTACTAAACTAAAAGGATATAGTAAAACGAAATACTTAGGAAGATTAACATTACCTGAAAAGAAAGTATTACAGTACTACACACACTAAGTAGACAGGACAGCTCCTTAACTGCAAAGCAGATTGTGAACTTTTTTGCTTCGGACTGCATGAAAGAAAAACACCCCACAACTTTAGAACTTTGGTTGCAATTTAGGGTTCACAGGAAGTAAACCTCCAAGATATCCATGTGCTCTCTCAAAAGTGACCAGAAAACAGGGTACTGAAATGGCTCTATTGTGAGGGCAAATCCAATATTACCTTTGCCAGTGGCAAAAGAACCAAGACTCCAGGATCAAAATAGCACTCCCTGACTCATAGAAGACTCAAATGCTAACACTGTCCTGGTGAACATTCATCTATTTAGATTTCTGGGTATTCTTCAGATTAAAATCAGTCAGCTACTCAAAATCAAAAAATCACCAAGCAGCAAAGGAAATAAATCACTAGGCCTAAGAGTCTTAAAATCAACAACTATCATATTTCAGATAATCAGATAAAGATTTTAGAATTACAATTTGTGAATACTTTAAAGGAATAAAAGATGGGAATCATAAAAATGATGAAGCAATAAGAGATTATGAGAAATTATAAGATATACTTGAAAAGAATCAACTTAAACTTTGAAACAAAATATGTACTTGCTGTGCTAAAAAAACTCATTGGAAATATTAAAGAGTAGACTAAAGAGAGTTATTGAACCAATGAAAGACAGAGCTAATGAAATGATCAGAATGTACCCAGAGGACCAAAGAGAACGGAAAATATGAAGCTTAAAAGCTTAAGAAACATGGAAGAAAGAATGAGAAATTCTAATATATCTATCCATAATTGTAGAAAAGAGAAGAAAGAATGAAAAAGTGGCCATATTTGAAAAAATGATTATCAAGAATGTTCCCAAATGACAGAAAACAAGTATGCAGAAATGAGTGGTGCACAGCACATACCAAAAAGGACAACTGTATAAACCCAAAGAAACCCATACCTAAAAATATACTATAGGGAAATTGAAGGATAAGGACAAAGAATAGCAAGAAACAACAACTAGAAAGGATGGATAGAAGACTTCTTACTAACAACAATGAAAAGACAAAATACAACAGAAACACAGCATCCTCGAGAAAAGAAGGGGGCTAAGGAAATGAGAGAAGAATAGTAATTAAAATAGTAATTAAAACAACCAAAAAATGAAGATAAATAACAAAACAAAGGTTTACACACCCACGAAACAGCATATCAGAGAGAGGTAGTATTTCAACTCAATCAATGAAAATGGATTCACTAAATTGAGACCTGGGACAAACAATTATTATGAGGGAAAAAATGAAATTGGGTCCCTATCTTTATTCATGTACAAGGATCAGTTCTTGGTGGGTGAAACTCTTAAATATATAGAGCAAAACTCTTATTGAAAACACTTATTGAATAAACATAAGGTAGTATTTGTTTTCCATTGTATAGCTGAGATTTTTACAAACTTGATAAAATCATATCCATAAAAATGATGATAGAGAACATTAAAATGAAGGATTTCTGTTCATCAAAAGGTATCACCGAGAGAATGGAAATATAAGCCACACATTACAAGAAGATATTTACTATACACATAACCAAAACCGGATCAATATCCAGATACAAATAAGAGAAAAAAAGACAATAAGTGACAAAGTAGGCACTGCTTTGAAACACAAATGACCAATCAACATGGAAAGATTTCAAACCTTATTGGTAACCTAGAAATGCAAATATCAGATGTTATTTTCACCCATTTGGGACTTATAAAAATTTTTGAATTTGTAACTAGAAAAGTTTTGGCAAAATTGTGAATGGGAATTCTATACATTGATCACAGAAATATAAGTGGTAAAACCACATTGGGAGTTAGGTCTTATCTTATATAGAACATTATTTTATTGTATAATTTATTAATTCCACTCCTAGATGGTCATCCTAGTGAAAACTTTAAACATGTAGATCTTGAGACACATACAAAAATGTAAACAGTGGCAGTTTTCCCTAAAAACAACAGCTGGAAACAATCTAAATGCCCATCAACAAAAGAATAGAAAAATATATGATGGAATATTCATATGCCAGAGAAAATTTGATGAATTATTGCTATTTGCCAGAATATGAATAAATCACTGAAACATACAATGAGTGAACAAGGCAACTGTACTACTAATGAACACTTTACAAAAACTTTCAAAAATAAGGAAAACTGAAGAATATATATCATTTGAAGATACATATATGGCGAAACCATAGAACAAAATAAGGAACTAATACACATAAAGCCAGAGTAATGCCACTCTCTCGGAGAGGTAGCAGGAAGAGGGGACAAAGAGGAAACCAAAGCAATAACACAAGAAACACTGCAGTTCTTAAACGGGGTGATGGGTTTGTGGGTATGTATTTCATTGTTGAAAAACAGAATATTTATAGGTAAGCTGGTATATGCCCTTTCTAAGCATAAAGAAACAAGGAATTTAACAATGATTATTTTCTAAACAGGAAGGAATATGAAGGCCTTCCCTCTTAATTTTGTACACTTCTGTGACATTTGAGTTTTGTATAAATATATACTACATTTAAAAAAATGAACAGGGTCATCTGTGTAAATGAGTTATAGGATGTTTAAATTTTCTTCTTTATACATTGCATTTGTTTATATTTGAATAAAGGCTATATGGGTGGCTTTCCCTGCAAAAAGGAACTGTAACTGACCCTTGTGAATATTTACTTAACTAGTAACTCAGGTCAGATGGTGGCTACTACCCAAAACAACGTCAAGAAGGTGTATCTGAAATATAAGTTCAACAGGCAAATTTGTCTGCTTAAAAATATATAATGCCACATACAGACCAGGCAATAAATTCCATTTTGTGTTCATTTTATTTCACCATTTTTGCACCATGACTATAATTTTACTTAAGCAAACAAGCAAAACCTGAAATGATTTAAAGGTCATTTTGGCTGATAGTCCATCTAAATGGGAAAAATAATTTAAATATCACCATCACCAATAAATTCATTTATTATGCAATAATTTGGTTTTTTTAAATGACAAACTGATATGCTTTTAAAAATCTTACTGTTATTCCTTCATGTTCTCTCTTCACATGTCCTTTATTCTCCTGAATGGCCCTGAGTTCTGAAGAACTCAAATTCTGTGCATTTTCTACCTTTTGACCTAGAGATTTGGTGGGGGAAGAAAAATCAACAGAAGGAATGTTTCAGAAGGAAAATTAGAAAAACAATTTTTCCATATAAATAACTATCAAAGTACCTATTTAGAATTGGAACTCTATATAATGCTGGCAGATATATAACAGGTACAACCACTTTGGAAAATAGGTATTATCTTGTAGAGAAAAACATTTTTACTGTAAATTCATTTATTCTATTTCTAGATATGCAATCTACCCTAAGATATATAAAAGCATGAATTATGGGTCTGACAAACTGGCAGCATAAAATGTAGTATATATTGATACAAAACTCAAATGTCACAGAAGTGTACAAAATTAAAAGGGAAGGCCTTCATATTCCTTCCTACTTAGAAAATAACCATTGTTAAATTCCTTGTTTCTTTATGCTTAAAAAGGGCATATACCAGCTTACCTATAAATATTCTGTTTTTCAACAATGAAATACATACCCATACCCACACTGACAAGCCCACATTAAAGACCTGGTCTCTGGCCCACAGAAGGCCTTGACTACAGAAGGCTCAATGCTGTTCACTGTGGCCAATGGCTCCACTTAGTCATTCCATTAGCACAGGAAACCTTAGGAAAGGTATCTCAAAGAAAAGCTGCCTGAGTTGCCAACAGGTAAGCCAACAGGAAGTAGAGAGCAGTAAATTGGCTCTTTAGGACTTAAAATGAAGACTGACAAGAGAAAGCAGAAAGTTTCAGTAATAAGAAAAGGAATATCGCCACAAATCCCATAAACATTTAAAAAGGCCACAAGAAGATTTTATAAATAATCTGAGGCCAAGAAATATGAAAATAAATATGAACTGAACAAATTTTCAGAAAAACATAATTTATCAAAATCAAAACAAGGAAAATCTGAATAGCCCTATAATTCTTAAAAATGGTTAATTTTTAAGTTCTTTAATTGGTAAAAAGTATATATAGTTATCAATTATAACATGATGTTTTAAAATATGCATACAATGTGGGATGGCTAAATTGAGCTAATTAACATATACATTACCTCACATACTTCTTTGTGTGCATGTGAGAGAGTACTTAAAAATCTACTCTCTCAGCAAATTTTTAAGAATACTATACACTGTATTACAATTATACTATAATTGCCATATTGTACAACAGATCTTTTAAACTTATTCCTTCTCCCTTAAGTGAAATTTTTAAAAAATATGAATAATATTTTAAACCCTTCTTGTGAGAAAACTCCAGGAAACTGACAGATTCCCCACATATTTAAGGAAAACAGTGATAATCTTTTCTTCCCCCTTTCAATGGTGAAGATCAAACCCAGGACTTTGGGCATGCTAGGCAAACATTGTGCTTCTGAGCTATATCCCCAGCCCTAATAATAATAATTTTACACAAATCTTTAAAAGAGTATAAAATCTTTCAGACAATAGATTTCCTCGGATTATTTTTTACTACATTTTCTTATTTCAAGAGGATTTCTAAGAGGGAACACTTCTCTACACGTTTTATGAGACTAGCATATACTTGATATTAAGAGATATAACTTATTAATAAACAAGGTAGATTTGTTTCTTAATTAATTCATGACACTAAATTGGAATGATAAGTCTGTTGATACTTTATAAAACTTTAAACACGTGTTTTCACTGTAAAGTATACTATTAACTGTTAATGGGTTGAATCACCTATCTCTCTGTTTTCTCTACCCTATTGCTGCTGAAAGTTGTTGGCAAAACCATGTGGACAAATGCTACTACAAGTTATTTTCAACCTCAGCAGTGTTTGGAAGTTGCTAGTAAACTTTTCCACAAGTCTGGTCAGCTTTCCATTCTCATTTTCAACTTCCACAGCTCCTCTCACAGCCCATTCCTCATTTCCCCTCATGCTGCCCCCCTGCTTTCTACATAATGTGCTATTCCTTCTGCTCTTGTCTAGGAATATTTTCTGCCTCCTTCTTACTCTAGTCATTTGCCAAACTTGATATATTTTAAATAAATATATTAAACAATGAAAACATTTCATTGGTAGAAACCACATCCTTGTACTCAAAAAGTAAATTCCCTCAAAACATATTCAGAATAAATGTAGAAAGGAATACTCTCTGCAGTTCCCCACCTCCAACCAGAATCTACATTCTGAATCAATAACTGAAGAAACCGCACCTTGAGAAGAATCTGAGCACAGTGGCTCAGTGATGTCAGATGTGCTGCTGCTCCGGAGGACCTGTTGCTGTCCCACCATGAGATGACCAGACTCAGCTACAGGTGCATTTTCTGACTGTTGACACTCCTCCACTTCTGTGAGCATTAACACAAAAAATGAAGTGTTGTAGCTTAAGATTTTTAAAAATATTTTCACCATTTAAAAAAACAGATTTAAAGAATTAAGTTTTATTAATTTTAAGAATTAATACTTTTCCACAAAACCTTTGCAGTAAGATAATTTGTATTTATATCATCAAGTTTCCTATCCTCGTTAACACTAATATTCCACTCCAATAATATATTTTCCTTTTAAGTTCTACTCAGCTTTTTATTTTTAAATCAAAGTAAAGGGTGAGAGGGTGGTGAAAGCCACAAAAATGATTGAGAGCTGTAAGTCACTTGAAATTTCAGGGGCAGAAAGTAAAAAAAGATCCAGTAACTTGGGAGATGCACAGAGAGGACAGTTTACATTTGAGGACAGTAGAAAGTCACACACACACACACACATACACACACACTAAAGGAAGATGAAAGAAAACAAGAATTTCAACTGTTATTCCTTTTACCAGAAAAGTGCACAACTGACCAAAATAAAACTCTGTTTAACGGTGCATATCGCTAATGGACAAAAAGATCTCTTGGTATATTTATAGACCTAATACACATATGACTATAATAAAAAAATAACTGAGTACTGATTCCTGGATAATCTCCACTAGGATTATTACTAACTATGTTGCCCTGGAGAATGAGTTTCCTCTTAGCTCATTTCTAAAATGCATAATTCATTTTAATCTCTAAAGGCCACCCAAGGCATTGGGATAACCACTCTACCTTCTCTCTCTAGAGTTAGGGCTTTGAGGTTGTATCATCTTTTTTCTAGGTCATTTTATTTGCCTTCTAACTAGTCACTATCCCCTTCTTTTTGCCACTCTCGTATGTGTGCTCCAGAGAGGTGCCTCTAAAACAAAGATCTGTCTATACCACTCCTCTTAAAACCCTGCGAGGCCTTCTATCATCAGGGGGTCAAATCTGTGCTTGCTGGGGTAAACAGAGTCTTCTAGATTATATTATCCCACATAATGACCCCCCCCCCACTCCCCACAAAGAACTGGTAATTTCTTTATTCTCAGCAATAGGACCAACTTGGCACCTTCTGCTCTCTTCCTCCTTCTATTCACTTCCTATGTTAACCCAGCCATGTTCCTTTGCCCCTCCTGTCTATGCTACTATGGGCACATCCCCCTATAGGTCTTGCTTTGTGGCCACGCATGTAAGATCCACCGCTCTGTTCCTTAGCACACTCTATATTCACTGATGTAGTTATAAAACTTTACATCCACATAATCATGACACCATATTTTCCAAATTTTTTAATCAGCTAAAGTTTCACTGCTACTAAGAAAAGACTGATTAAAATTCAGTCTGTATTATCTTACCTGGCTGTGTCACCCAGTTCCTCACTAGAAATGGAGGCTCACTGGCAGTGAGCCTCCCTCTGTATAGCCCTTTCTATACTCTAAGCCAAAGTGATGGCTCACCTCAACCAAGAAATGGTATACATGATGATTCTAAGTTTAACATGCAGGAATTCTACAAAGGGTCGCTGCTTTATTTTTTCTATCCAAATGAAAATTCCATTTACTATTATATTGATACAATTACAAGACTTCAAAACTATGAAATTTGTGGGATCCTTCCTTTAAGATTCAAAGTTCTACACTACAATCTAAATTTGGATGCTGATCAGAAAGTGAGCTTGGAGTGTAAGAAAACATAGGCTAAGGTTCCAGGAGGAGACAGACTCATTAAAGTCTCGTTTTCCCAGATTTTCTTTACCTTCATCTTAAGTAGCCAAGCACTGATCATTTTTTTCCATGGAGAAGCACAGAGCATATGTGCGATTTTGTTTTTAAAAAATAGCTACACATCCTAAAGCACAAATCTCCTTCTAGTGTCTTCAGCATTAGACAATCAAAAACATATGACACCATGAGCCAGCCCTTCATCTATCTTCTTTCATTGTTTATTCTAATTATGCAAGATGCAGAAACCTTGTAAGAAGAGAATATATTTGTTAATGAACATTCTTTTAAATCTAACATCAGTAGAGGGCGCCCAAGAGCTTCCTAACTTTCTAAAATATAATTGGCCAGTGCCCATTTTGTGGATAGTGGCAAGAGCAGTGGGTTTTATTCTCTTAATCTGATGCCAAAATTGGTAGATGTTGCTTTCTGGAGTATGAGCAGAAGCAAATAAAAGCCGAGCCAACACTGGCAGCTTCCTTCTAAAGATAAAGAACACCGCCATCTGGTGGGATACAATACAGCCACAGCACCATCCCTTCCAAATTAGAGTGCCCCCACTGGTCCTCAACATAGCAGACGGAGGAAGCGCCTGCCACCACCAGCTGGTCTGTCTTCCCAACAGGCTGGCCTAATGCAGCTTTTAAAGCTTTGTTTCTGCAAAACTGTCAGGAGAGATTTCTCAAATGGAGGAAGCCCAAGCTATAGAAATAACTGGAAGAAGCAGGAGTATCAGTGATTGAAGTGGAAGAAAGGTGACAGCCACAATGCCAAGTGCACTTGTTGTATTGTCAGAGCTCTGAGCTACTCCTGTAGTTGATTATCATGAGACAGGGTATGGGAAATTTTCAATTATTCTTATCCCACAATTTAAACCCAATTGCCTGTTTTATAAGTATACATCATTTCTTGGGCTTTTTTCATTCTTTGCACTAAGTATGCACTCAATCCATGCTTTCTAATATATGAAAACATGTTCATGAGGCCTTTCTTTTTTAACAGATCTTGGGCTCCCTCTGCTGGTATTTCATTTGTTAAGAAAGGGCAATTTGTGCTAAAGTTGCTCCCATCCTAGTGTCAGCTGTAGCAGTCACTCTTTTATAACAAATGCAGGTCATTTTAACACTGATAAGAAAATATCAAGATACAGAATTATGTAATATTCAAAGTTGAAAAATAGTGATCCACAATATAGAAAAATTACCTGATAAATCTTAGCTCTAATGCATCTTCTGTTTTGAATGTCACATAATAATTGTTTTGAATCACTTCAAAGAACTAAATTCTGGCTCAATTCACCAATTCATTTACTGTCTCAAAAGCCTAGTTAATCCCAATAACCCAAATTTTAAAAGCACAAACTTTCTTGTCTCTTGATGGTATAAATTACTCAATATTAAATACTTTGCTTCCTAAAGCTTTACTCAGAACATCAAAAAATGATCAATAAAGGATTACTTAATTTTTTCCCACTGAGAAAAAGAATCATCAGGATTTAATGAAACCAAATGTATAAGCTCTTAATTAACTTTTATTTTTTCCAGATATCTGAATATTTTCAAAGTAATTTGAAAGTTAAGACTTTCTTAATCAATCTTATTTAATGGAATGAGGCTCATGTTTTACTAATCAAAGTTCTGGGTTCCAGTTACCCTTATACAAGGCTGTTTAAGTAAAATGAAGAGCATAATTTCCTAGTTTTAAAAAAATTGTACATGATACCAACTTAAACTTATAAAAAGCACAGTAGATATATATTCACTCAACATTGAGGCTTCTCACAAGATCAAGCTTTCCAAAAGTGAGTCAGCCCTGGTCCTAACAGACAATGAGCATTTCCCCAGAGCCTACCAACAAGATGCAGAAACAGCTAAGTGAGGCTTCCCATTAGGTCCCTTAAGTCTTTTTAGAATAAGGGAAGATGGCTGATCCTCTAATTACTACAATTATAATATTCCCCAAAGAAAAATAAAATCTACCATCTGCACAGCCTGTGAATGCAACAGACTGATAAATGACCCAACATAAAAAGCAGATTAAATGGCAAAACAGCTACAAGAAACTTCCCACAAAGGAAAAAGTGTGTGTGTGTGTGTGTGTGTGTGTGCGTGTGGGCGCGCGCACGCTCGTGTGTTTAATGTAGCTATTCAGCAATTCATATTAATAAAAACAGGTTGGTTGTGACTCTTCCAAAGAACAAACACCACATCTTTCCCCCTCAAAGACAAATAACTCTACCAAAATTATGTCACCACCAAATAGAGTCCCCAAAGGATCAGAGTAAATGTAATTATGGTTGAAGGTAATTCTCTATTGCTTATGTTACTAAAACAATTTTTGTGAGTTGACTGGTCACACAGATTAAAAATAAAAACAAGAAATATTACCTTACGTGAAAACAAAAGCAGTAATCATTGATATGGTAAGGAATTCAAGATCAGAAAATAAATTATAAGTGTCTGAATATTATCTAGCAATAGTTTATCAGGATATGCCCATGTGCCAACCAGTAGAGGACGTATACTCTAAGACTGAGGACTGATATACACTGCTCTTGGCCCCATCTCCTAACAGGACAATCACAAAGAACAACAGCATCATTTTAAGTGATAAAGAACAACTGGCATCAGACTGAAAGAAGGAGCTTGATACTGTAGTTGCCAGATCAAAGAATAGCAAATTGTTCTCAAAAGTCACTACGCCCTAAGTCCCTTCACTCTATGTGCTATAAAACCAGGATGGCAAAAGCACAATAAAGAAGACCCAGACCAGTCTTCTTCATTTCACCCCAAATAAGTGTTTTACCCTTAGCACTATTGATATTTGAGGCCTGATAGTTCTTCATTCTGGGGCCAGTCTGTATATTGTAGGTAGTTTAGCAGTGTCCCTGACTTCTACCCACCAGGTGCCAGTTGAGAATCACTGCTCTAAATATTGAACTTCTGTTGTAACTGTTTATACAGGAACCAAGAATCTGAGTAAAATAAAATGTCAGACTGAATGAGTACAAAATATTCTAAAATGAAATTACTAACAGGAAGAGATTTTTGTGAAAACATTACACACAAAATAAAACTAGTAAAAAATTAAAGTGAAACAATATGAAAATTAAAGAAACTGTAAAATAAAACTTTTCACCACAAAAAAACTTCTTTGAGTAAGTACAAGCCAAATAGGAAGCAAATTTGTTTAAAGTATCTTTTTAATCACCTCTAAACAGTAATATTTTCTGGAAAAACCAAATAAACAGTTAAAAGTTATCAGTAAGTTAACCAATGGATAGCCATTTCCCCAAGTACCATTCTTATTATTTTTCACCATCAGTATTTACTAAAGAGTTATCTAAGAAAGGTTGTAGTCATCAGTCTCAGTAAAACTAACTGCTTCCTTCATAGTCTGTAAATGAAATAATATGGTATTATTTTATATACTCATCACTCAACTTAAGCTTTAATTTTGTTTTAGATAAAGCAATTTTTAAATATTTTCTTTTAGATATAATGACAGTAGAGTATATATTTTGACATATTGTATATACATGGAGGATGAATTTCCATTCTAGTGGTTGTACATGATATGGGGTTACACTGGTTGTGCATTCATATATGAACATAAGAAAACACATCCAATCCATTAATTTTGTTGTGCCAAACTACAATATGATATGATTTAATCATAGAAAGCCACAATTAGACTATCTTCAATATTTAATAATACTAATCTATATACAAGATTTCTGAAAATACAGAGTATGAAAATATTTCCCTTTGATGAGAAAATTGTTTATATTAGAATCACTGAAAAATATCTAGACATCGATGTAATTATTCACTGAAGAAAAGTAAATATTTTTGTAATGGTGGATATACCAATAATCACTTTGGTACTATAATAACTTTTTTAAATTGATACACAATAATTACACATATTTATGATGTGCAGTGTTCCTGATTCATGTACACAATGGATAATGATCAGACCTGAATAATTAGCATCTCTATCAAAGTTTAAATTTTAATCATTTCTTTATGATGAGTACATTCAAATTCCTCTGAGCTAGCTATTCTGAGATATTATTAACTGTATTCACCCTACTATGCCTGGTACTGTGACATCTCAGTAAATCAAGAACCGTATTTTGAGTAAACCACAAAAGACTAATTTCAATTTCAATTTCAACTGGCTGAAGTCCAGTAACAAAATGTTTCTTTTGCAAATTAGCTCTTTTTAGTTTTTAGGGTTTTTTACTTAAATATCAATTATCAGTATGAGTCTCCGTAAACTGATGATTACTTTATATATGAATTATTTATATGACTTACTATCCCTAAAGAAGTCTTACCTGCATAACTTTCCAGTTTATTGATATTTTTGAAAGGCACAGTTAGCATTTTAACACTGACATATTATAAAATTTTATGAAAATTCCCTTACTTTCTGTCAGCACTCTAGAGGAGACACAGGAAGGCATGCATCATCATATTTCCCCCTGTTAAAAATTATGGGCTAAAAAAATCCTCTATCCTTCTTCATTATGAATGTAAGACCACTGGCGTTGCAGAAATTTTTCTTGACCAATCACTACAAAACTTCTAACTACACAAAAAAATTAACTTATATTCATTGGACTTTAACACAAGTGCAATGGTGAGGCACCATATATGATATGTAGGTATTAACAAAAGAAGCAAGGCCCAGAGGCAAGCAGGAGGAGCTCGGAGACATTGATGGACACATGAGAGAGTGTTACAGTACCTGACAGCCTGTGAGAGCAAGAGGAGTAAGAGAGACCAGGTAAGAGAGCGCTCACGGTGTGAAGGAGGAGCGGGACGCTTTTAGTGGCAGGCAAAGCCTCAGAAAGGTAGACACAGTTGCTGATAGACTGGCTTCGCTTAGCTTCCAGGAGAGATAAAGTAATAATTATGTCAGAAGCATTATCAAGAACGTTCACTACTTTTTTATTACTATTTTTCTGGTCTCTCTTTAAATACTTCAAGGAGGTCATTTTAAACTTTAAAGGAAGTCATACAAAGTACTTTATTAAATTGTAGTCTCAAAATACAGCCAACTTTCAATTGCCCTGATAACATAGAAGAATAAACAATAAAAAAATCAATTTTATTTTGGAATGTTTTATATGTTTAGCATCTTTTCTTCTATTGTGTATCAGATTCAAATTTGGGTTGATTATTCAGTCAGACATTACAATAGTTTTTCCCTTCCTAAAGGACACACACAAAAAGACACAGTGAGAGAAATCTGGCCTAAGATTAAAATTCTTCTACAAGTAATAAAAAAAACTAAGAAATTGGTTTGCTGAAAGCTGACTGTATTCAAAAGCAAATCATCTAATAGATTAAATATCCTAAAAGCTCAAGAATGCGTGACAATCAAGTTGAAATTACAAGATTTGTTATTTGAATAAAAGGTAAAATCTCCATGAAACCTACCCTTTTATATCATATTTCATGCTTATTAAATCCATAGTTTATTAATATCAACTTTATGATGTTCTTAAGTTTTCTGTACACCTCTGGTCAAATAAATATTTGAGAAAATGGACAGATACAGGAAGAGAACATGTTTCATATATATAAAACCAAAGTCAACAAAAATCCATTTCATCCTTAGAATATAAGGTTTATTTGATGTTTTATTTTATGTATCTTTATAAATCATGAATAAAATAATAGTGGCAGATTTGTAAAAAGTGAAACAAACTTTTTAGTTTACTGTTCCTTCTCCCATTCTTTGCCTATTAGAATTAGTAAAAGGATGATCTGTAAAGTGATTACAGTATAATTTACATGTGTGTGAAGATAATATGTAAATGACAACATCCATGTAAATGTCAAACCCACTCACTTTAAATTTCTTAGTAGATTTGCTCATCTCTCAAAATGTTGGAAACTTTTTGAGTGTTGTTTAAAAGTTTTCCTTTTATAAATTAAATGTTTAGGCATTTCTCTAAAATTGATCACTAGAAATTGTAGAAGTAATAAAATATAGGATATTTTTATATAAAAATAAAGACTTGCTTTGATTTTTGTCACATTTTAGGAATCCAAACTCATCATCATTCATACTTAGGGATAAAGTTTTCTTTTGTAAGTTTTCCTTACTTAAGACTCCTTGCAGGCCTTTAAAGTTATAACCTAGTGCACTCTCTAAACTAATTGTCATTTTTCCACTTTGCAACTGCTTATTTTATTTTTCCCTCATGTTACCATCAGTGATATTTTCTCTACCTAAGAAATCTGTAGGGAAAATCATTATATAATACTCTTAAATCATCTCTTATTGCAATTAGGGAAAGCAAAGTCACTTTCAAATGGATCTTCCATAATTACCATTACTATTAAAATGATTACTACTAAAAGTAGTAAAAATAACTTCATGAGCTGGTATTCTCTCATAAAAATGTGGCTTCCACAAAAAATAAGTGCTACCATGAAAATATTTTGGGCTTTTTTTTTAATAAAAGGTGAGTTTTTATATAACATAAAAATAAAACTGAATGCCAGGTATGGTGGTACAGGCCTATAATCCCCAGTGACTCGGGAGGCTGAGGCTGGAGGATCACAAGTTCAAGGCCGGCCTTGGCAACTTAGCAAGGTTCTCAGCAACTTAGAAAGACCCTGTCTCAAAAACAAAAAGGGCTGGGGATGTAGCGCAGCTGTAGAGTCTAATTTCCAGTACCAAAAAAATAAAACTGAGTAAAATCACAACATTTAGTTCATGTAATTTTAAAAAACATCATGATATAATAAAATCCTTAAAGGCCATTTTTTTAGAGATAACAAAATAATTCATGATATTTTATATTTTTCAAAAAGTAAAATGAAATAAAAAATGTATGTATATATGTACATAGATATAGATTTATAAAGATGATAGATTTATCCAGCTGAACATCTTCATAATCTTTCAAAGGCTACGATTCTTACCTTCTAAAAGTCTAACTAATCCTATAGAGGCCAAGCTTATGGTTTTAAAAGATATATTCTATAAATACTTTCACACGATTTTGTACAAGTACTTGATTTTCTAATGCCATGGCTTCTCAGACACCTGAAAGGGCTAATAACAACCTCACTGTCATAACTGCTCTAAGTATTTTCTAAAGCATGCTGATGCCTCTACCATATTGTTGGTTTAAAATACCTGATTGTTAAGATGCCATCTCTTTAGTGTCTATGTTTCGGCGAAGTACAGTCATATTGTACATCTGATGTACAATAGTTTGTTCCTCATTAACATGTGAGAATAAAATTTAAAAATCATAGTTTTTAATTTGTTAAATTCACTTTTATTATAATTCAAAGATGGTAGGGAAAGCAGGAAGTCTGGACAGCTCAGGCAGGATTCCACCTTTATTTGTCACACACTTCTGATCTTTTTCTTTAAGGATCCAATGGTAGAAGAAAGGAGTGTTTAGGAATTAGAATTAAAGGGAAATCAGTGAATGGGCACACTCAAAACCGCCTGTTATCAGGAATTGGGTCTCTCCTCAGAAGAGAAAATGAAAGAAAACAGGGAGACTATGAGAGGTATATAAATAAGGTGATAGTTACCAGCAAATGCTATGGCAAAAAGCATGAGAAAGTTAGGGTTAAGGCATATCATATTTCCATAAAAATGCCAACAGGACCCTAAACCATGTATACTAATCTTTTAGTAAGCACTGTAAAGTATGTTCAGCTTAACTGAATCCTTGCTTTATGGCCAGAGGATCTGATGATTTCTGAAATCAATAAGCTGAGTATCAATTATAATTACATGGCATAATTGATCATAAAAACTATAGGAAACTGGAATACAGTTGTTTGAAACCTAAGGTACAGCCTCAAAGTTAACGGGGAGGAGGGAGCTTTATTGGTCTTAATTAAATATTGGATACGAGTTTCCTTTTAAAAGATTTCTCTCTTTATTTTAAGAGGAAAATGTTGCAAAGCAATTTGATTAACTGGGAGCTCTTGGTCAAGTTGTTAATTCAAATAGACTATAAAGACAACATCTATAGGAATGAAAAGATCAATTTTCTAAGGAAGCAAAAAATGAGAATGTCTCCATCCAGTCCTGAAAACTAAGAGTATTTGTCTATTTTTCTTTGCCAGAACCACTTACCACACACTCTTTAGATGAACACTGTTTAACAATGACAATAATGCAACTAATGATAGATTTGTTAGGAATCCACTTTCTTCAAGGTTCAAACAAGACCACTATTTTCTCTATTTTGCACAAATATCTCATTCAATATTACCATCTCCAGTTCTTTTCATAATGGAGAACTTAGAAATATTGAAAACTGTGATCTGAAAAGTAGCCTGAGCAGAAAATTATAAAGATACAGAGAATTTCATTTAATAAAAGTGCTAATATTTGAATTCTGGGTAGAATTTTAAAATACTGTATTCCTATAAACCCATTTTAGTTAATAATTAGATTTTAAAGAAATATTTAAATAAAATAAATGTTTACCAGTTGCTTTCTGGCGAACAATATTCCTTGCCTTTTCAACTCCTGGTGCTCCAGAAGTGGTGGCACTCCTAAATCGCATTGGCTCAGTCACATCTGGGTGGCTCCGCCAGCTGAGAGAAAAAGATCTCCCCACAGTTGTTCCTTTCTGAGAATCTATAACACAGCCTGATAAATGATAAGGTGAGAAAAATAAACTGACTTCATCATCATTTATTTCACAGCTGGTGCAGCTCAGCAAATGGCATATATACAATGAAACATAACTAGCAGGTTCCCATGCTCCAAATTAGGTAATATTTCCCCATACGGCAATTTAGGAAGTTATAACTAAATATTCCTGTTGCCAAAGTATTTTCAATTATCTTGGAACATGTATCTTCATAGTATTCATTTCAGTATACAAAGATATTAATAAATCTTTCTCAGTACAAAAACATCAAATGATGTTAAATCACAGTTCCCAGGACACTTCAAAAACAAATACTTATAAACCAAAAACCAGAGATCATGATGTCAGAATAGTACTACATCCTCTAGGCTCCAACTGTTCCACAATCCCCTAATAAATATATGCCTATAAACTCTAATGTAGATTTGGTCAAATAAGCAAGATAATAAATAAATAAATAAATGATATATATATTTATTATATATTTTATATTTTACATATATACACACATATATACATATAAAATATAAAATATAAAATCATATTTTAGAAAAAGCTCTTAAAACTATAAGATTCTGCAGATTGTATTGAGATTCAACTCAACTTTTTGAGATTCAACTCCTTTTCTCTCATATTTCTCTGGTCAATTATTTCAACGAAAGGTCAAGGAGCCAAAAGAAAAATAAGAGGAAAACAATAAGGAACTTGAGATTTTTGCATAGGTCTGATGTGGCCAGTGGTTGCAATCTGTAGCTTATTTCCATACCCAGGTTCTTCTGTCTGTGTTTTCTGGTTTCACTGGTCTAGTGAAAGGTAATAAATGTTTATAAGGTAAGTGTTTCTACAATGAATATTTAAATTTTTACAAGAAATACTTAAATCTCTCTTCAGAATAAAGCAATATAAGTTAGAAATATGTGTCACGGTTATTATTTAAATAATTTGTTCTTAACTGTTCTGGAAACAGTGTTTTTAAAATTGTCTTCCTAAGGATATCTCTTCATGTTTGCACAGTGGGAGGGAAGAGAATATTGCAGGGTGGTGAATATGAGTATGAGTGTGTGTGTGTGTGTGTGTGTGTGTGTGTGTGTGTGTGTATTATAAGGATTTCAGGAGGCAGGGAATGGGGTTAGTTTGAGAAAATAAATCTTTATTTCTTATCTCAGCTCTTTCCCTCCCCCACCTGAAAGGTGCTTTTAGCTGGTAAACTCTCTGCTGGGCCTAGATCCACTGTGTTAGGAAGCCAAGTTCCCAGTTGGAAGAACCCAATCCTCTCAGGCTCTGGTTTACACAGAGGACCTCAGAGCTGTGAAAGAGGACAAGAAGGAAGGAAGACAAGGGCCCAAACTCTTGGCTTTCTGGCTTACTTCAATCCCAAATCTTTAATCTAATATAAGTTATTTCGGAAAGGGATTCTGTTGAGCTTAGAAAGTGGAGAAAAAAGGATCTATTACTAAAAATATGTTAGAAAAATAAATGCACTACACATTCTAAATCTAAACTGAGATTAAACTGTTCCTACGGAATGCCATGTACTTAAGCTACTTTGTTGTGGCTTCTTACTGCCTTGTTTCACTAACTGGGGCTTTGGCAAGCTACTCTCAGACTGCAATAAATATATTGTAAGAATCAGTTCCAATTAATTACATGTTACATAGTTAACCAATCATTGTAATTAGCTCACACTTCCCCATATCCGCATCCCCTGTTGTCCTTTCCCACACTAATCCTGCAGGCTTCATCATGTGACTTATTTTGGTAGCAAAATTGAACAAGCAGAGACTTGAAATGCTCTGAAATAATTGAGCTTGCCCCCTTGCTGCTCCTGGAGCCCTAAACCATCATCTGAACAAGCCCAAACCAGCCTGCAGGGTAGTGAAATGTGGTGCAGTCACATCCACTGCCCTGGCTGACAGCTACCTAACTCTTAGAAGTAGAGCAGTCTAGCTGACCCTTGCACAGCCTAATTTTCTCCAGAACAGGAATGGATCAAGCAAAGACTAACAGAGTAAATGATCAACTGAGTGCTATCCAAATTGAAAATTCATTAAGTCGTGTTATATTAAGGCACTAAATTTTGGGGGGAATTGTCACATGCAACTGATACAGTCTATATTAAGGTTATTATTGAGTGTAGTCTATTATAATAAGTCATATGTACTCTTTTTTAAAATATTTTTTAGTTAAACATGGAAGCAGTGTCTTTATTTTGTTTATTTACTTTTATGTGGTGCTGAGGATTGAACCCAGTGCCTCACATGTGGAAGGCAAGTGCTTTACCACTGTGCCATACCCCAGCCACTTCATGTGTACTCTTGATGGGGCTTTGAAAGAGAAATTTCTCCTGTCTTAGGATCAAACTACATATCACCTAAGGAAGTGAACTGTTTTTACTTTATGTACTCTGTGATTCTGTATATTATAACACTGCAAAAATGAAAATCAAATCCAAGGATGCCCCTTCCCTACCTTCCCAGCAAGCATATGAGGCTCTACAGCGTGCAATTTGGTATTATAACCATACCTGTAGCTCCTCCCTGCTCATTTTGCCCCATTTCTTTTTACATTCCATCTACTGTACTATATGCATTCCTATGAACTGCCTCAATCTTTACAGAATAAGTTGGAGTACAGATGAGTTTCCCTTGGAAGCATTCAGAATTTCTCCCAAAATTTTCTCAGAAGGCAAACAGCTACATCTTAGTGCTGTAGGACTAATCTTGAGTAGGACTAATCTTGGCTTTGATTTTGGTCTTTATCCCTTCTTATGTGATCTAGAATGAATCAATCACTATAAAGTCTTTGTACTTCATTTTTTTTTTGGTCTGTGTTAGCGGGATAATAATAATATCAACTTTGTAGAGTCATCATGATGGTGAAGTGAGATGACCTTCAAAGAACTGGCCATTATTATTATTATTGTTAGTTATCAATATTATCACTGCTACTACTTCTGTCTCATCTTTCTCCTTCCACAGCCTCTTCAGAAACTTGTTGGTCACATTAAGGGAACAGAGTAATACGAGACACAATCTAATGCCACCATTAAAAAGATGTTATTTGGTTAGTTCAGTTCATTATGAAATGTCATGTGTTGATTGCTTCAATGTATAAATACACAATCTTTCCCAGTTCCAGGAATTTGGTGCTACCCTGGGAGAGTGGAAGTACCTTTGCCTCGTTGCTTCTTCTCCTTTTGTTCACTTAATTTATCCAGAGGTAGGTTTGTCATTTCAACTCCGTAAACAGTTCTTGCAAGCACTGCTGTCAAAGAGTCCATTATGTTTGCCCATTCACTGATGAGCTCCTCCCATTCTGTGAGGGAGGACAGCACACCAAGAAAGTCATCCCAGAGCTCTCGAGAAATATACACATAGAGGTTTGCTCGGATCCAAGCCACGATGAGAGTCTAAACAACCAACAAGAGAATACAATTGGGAGGAAGTATAATTTTTAATAAAATATTTTAAGTTACTACTAATAAAGTTTTAAAACATAAATACTCTTGGATGTTGTTTTTAACTGATCAAAAATCATTTGGCAAACTGTAACCAGGATTTGAGTTTCTGTGAGGTCAGTTACCATTATGAACAAAGCTACTGACCTAGTATTATTGTAGAGCAGGGGGTTGGACCTGGCTGTAATTAGGGAAAAGACAAAGCCCTCAGTATAATAATTATTCTGTTCCTGAGACAGTTCTTTCCCTTGCTCTCCAGTGACTACTTCTCCTCCTTTACCTATAAGTGAACTCAGCCCACCATCGCCTCCCTGATTTTTAGCAGATGGGCTCACTGAAGACCTCAGAGGAAACAACCCATTAAATGAGACTCACTTCAACTTCAGTCCACAAGAACTATGCTCTTACCTGAATTCACCTAGCTTAGACTCCACCTGTGGGTTGTCTTCCAAAAGGAGCTCCTGCTCTTCTACATTTGCCCCCACTTAAGCTCTGGACCTCTTCCTCAGAGTTTTTCTGCTTCTATAACCTCACCGTTTTTTATTTCCAACCTAGCTAACTTTCTCAGCTTTTGCCCATCAGTATTTAATTGTGCTCCATTTTTCCTAACCTTAAAAACACAAAACATTTTCCTTGAACCCAAATTCTCCCTATAGCTATAGCCCTTTTCCCTCCCCCTTTCAAAGCCAAACTTCTTGAAAGAATGTTTCACATGTACTGTCTGATGCTCTGGCAGATCCCTCTCTGCCTCTTCATTCCATTCCCAAGGCTTCAGTTACCCTCTGTATGCTGTAGACTTCTGAATCTCCATGTCTAGCCCTGATGTCTTTGCTGGTTTCTGCCTATTTGTTTGCTTACTAGAGAGCTCTCTACTCATATGTCTCACAGGCGCCTATAGCAGAGCATGACAGTGAAAAAATTCAATGTCTTCCACTGAGATTCTCCCATTTCTTCGACCTGCTCTCCCCTGCTCTTTGCCTTTGCACACACTCTTTTTTCTCTGCCTTCCCTTAGTTTTACCTCTTTAACTTCCACTTATTTTCCAGGTCACAACTTGGATATCTCTTCTCCCAAGAAGATATCCCTGACAAATTATATATAGATTTTTGAAACTACAACCCTTTTTTCTTTAATTCAAACATAGGAAGACTTTGAGAAATAAAAATCTAGCAGGTCTAGTCTGACCACTTGGAAATAATATTTAATGTGACCTTTTGCAATATACCTGTTCTTTGTGCTTTAATTTATGTTTATTGCACTTCTTAAAAGGGAAAATGTCAAAGTAGAAGTAAAATAGTTAAGTATATCGAAAATAAAATTTTTAAATACCCATTTAAAATCTGATACTAATGTGAATGTTTTTGAAAACTAAAAGAATGTGAAAGAAAAAATTTTATTAAATATTTTTTATGACTGAAATGCTATCACCTATTTATTTTTATTCTCTTTTCAAAGACTTCAAGATCATTACCATAAAATACATGTATATAATAAATTATTAATACTGATCCAATAGTAAATATTGATCTAATAATAAATATTGATCTAATATTAGATCAATAAATATAATCTTTGCAAAGTAAGAGGAAAGAGTAGAGACCAGTATTGACATCACCCTTGGCTACAATAGTAGCCTCAGGGATAAAACCAGATGTCTTGGTGTAGTTAGATTCCTTTCTACACTGCGAATTTTATTTTGGCTTCACTTTATTGACTAATTATAAAACAAGGGCAGAATGACTTCATGCAGCTTATAAAATTCATCTTAGCAAATATTACAAACATGTATGCAGACCTGTTGAATCATTAGCAAATTTATAACAGCTCTTGCACACAGAGCAAAGTCATAAAAGATAACTGAGGGAGGGGAGTGGTGACATCTTTGAATTAAAAGGCAGAGTCTGCTTTTAATTACTCTTTTATCAAAGAAGGAGGAAAAGAGAAGGCCCCAGCTCTAGGTTTTGCCATTACCTTTCTTTGTGACCTGGGGCAAGTCACTTGGCAAGTCTCATTAAAAATAAAAAAGGTGGATAAGAACACCTCTTAATTCTGTCAGTATTGAAATTCAATGTTTTATGAAATATAGCTTAGCACAGAAGTTGCATAATAAAACATTTTGCCTCATAAGTCACTCCTTTTAGGTACATTTGCTAATCAACCACTTCCTACCTCTCTCTGCTTACCACCTTTAAAAGCACTCTTAATTGTCAAGTAATGGATCTAACTATAAATAGCAGGACCATAGTTTTCTGATATACCTTCACAGCTTCATGCATAAGTTCGTATTTAGAACTGAAAAAAGGTTAAAATATCATGAATGGTAATCACTATTAATTAGTAAATATTTAAAACTGAGTCAAAATCAACCTAGAGTATCTACTGACAGAGAAGAAAAAAAAAGTACTAAAGGAAAATTTAGTAAAGGATAGATAGAAGGATAATGGCTACTTAAAATCTTCTTTCCCCTTTTCAAATTGTTTAAAAATAAATCAAGTATCTGATCATTTTAGATAGTCAGATGACAAATGAATCATAATTAGCACATTTTATCTAGTGTGGCACTAAATAGTGCCCACTTGACAGTGTGCCCAATCTCTCCAGACCTTTACCACTTTTCTCCCTTCTACATGGGAGGCCAGCAGATGATCATAAATCCCCAATTAATCTGCTCTAATTCCCATGACAACCCTTCAGGGTAGGAAGGAGTCCTCTCCTGATTGTGGGATCAGGGGAGAGGCTCAGAAAGGTGAGGTGGTGTGCTCAAGGGCACACTGCCAGGAAGAGGAAGAGCTGGGATCAGAACCAGAATCTGTCAAACACTAAAAGGCCCATCATTCCTCCACTATTTTAGGGCTAATTCTAAATTTAAGCATGTAACTTGATTTATCTAATTATTCCCAAAAAATAACAATGACATCAAAAGCATAAATAACCATGGACCCATAAAATATTTATCAACAAAGATCTGACAAGATTTCTCCATTAATGGAGGGGATTTGATTTTTCAAAAAAGCCAAACAAAACAAACAACCCTCACCCCCACAACTCCAGAGTAGATTTTTGCTTAATTCTGTAACAAGTTCTTTCTCAAATCCCAACACAATAGATGCAAGGTCAGACAACTGGTAAGGATGAGGCCCAAGCACTCACCAGCCTAACACTGGCTTTAGCTCCTATGCACTTGGCAGTCCAGGCCCAGGAATGGGAACTTGAGATGTTTCCAGAGCAAAGAGAGCACAGTGTCCATTTGTTCAGGCAGACAGCAAAGCAGTGATCAGTACAACTCTCCAGCAACAGCAAAGCAAAGTTGGACACATGCAAAAAGAGAACGCAGGACCACTCCACATATCCACAAACTAGGCAAGCTAATCAGAACAAAAGGGATAGTACTCAGGAAGCAAACGAGTACATGCCAATTAGTTCTACAGCCTCTTATATATTTTTCATCAAGCCAAGATCATTCAATCATAGTGAATTATTAAAAATTGATATGAATAGTTGATCCCCTCACGTTACAATTTCTTTTTGTCATCTTCACCTCCATGTCCTATCTGTACTCTATGTATGCTCTTAATATATATTCTCTAAAACTACTTTCAGGTCAACTGGGGAAGGACACTACTTGTTCCTCCCTGCAATCATCACTCCAGGTCATGACCCACCATGCTTCCTCTTAACAAATTATTCAATGTCCGATCTACCCTTTGTACTAATACCTGTATTTGTGTAGAATGTCCCGTATTTCCAGAGCCCTTTCACACTGTCTGTTTCAGGAATGCTCATAAATTCTATGTACCATATAAATATCGACTATGCTACAGTAGGTGACTGCCCCACTAATTGGCTCTCATTTTCTCCTCCATCTACTCCAACTACGCCTCATTCCCTTAGAACATTCTTAGCAACCTTCATCTTGACAAAGCTAGCAGTCAACTGACTGCTTTTCTCTTTCTAGGCATCCTAGGCCGAGGCACACACTCTTCTGGGCCTCCTCATGGCCCACTGGCCATCCTTTCTCAGCATCTGAGTGGCTCCCTCTTCTCTCAACTGTGGAGAGGCCCTCTTCTGGTCCCCTTCTCTCTATGACATGTATTTTCTCCTTAGGTGACTCTATTCAGTTATGTGGCTTTAAATACAATTGTCTAACACAAGGATGGTTCTCAAGTTTTTATTCCATTCCATACATTCTGTACCTCCACACCTATTTGATCCACCACCAAGGTTCTGAGTGCTTGTTACTTTTCTAATTTCTATCACCTTTGAGCAAATCAAGAGGAATTAGATGGCATAGAGGTAGGAAAGCCAGCATTAATTGCAAAGAATAGACCACAAAATTTAGGACACAGTTAAGAAGGAATGTTTCTAAAAATTCAAAATTAATTTCATAATGAAAATTCTTAAAATACCCAGTGATTAAAACTAATTTTCTGTAAAATCTGATTCATTTCTTGCATTTGCAGTGTTTTAATATAAAAGACTTACCCTAAATAGTAACCCTGCCAAGCTCTGGGCAAACAAGTCCTTTATTTGTTTATCCTTTGGCTTCTGCATGACAGCTTCTGTTATCCTGAGTAGTATTTGCAACATCTGCTCCCTGGGCCACCCAAAATAAAAGCTCATATTAATAATCACATCTCCCAAGCACTTTAATTCATAGATATGAGAAATTCTCTTATGAATTCAACAACTTTAATAATCATATATTATTCAAAAGTACTAAGTCTACATGCCAATTACATTAAAATATCATTAAATAAGCTATTTTATGTTACAACAGTTCTAAAAACATGCCTCCCACATCCACATCAATAGGCAGGATAAAACGGAAATCTTCCTACCCCGATTTTTTCCCACTGCAGAAAGGGAGTCAAGATGGTTTTTCTACAACTGTACTAGAGCCTTAAGGGCACTTAGGGAATAGCTGTGCCAGTCTGAACCTATGTAGAACTGTTTAATTTCCCATCCATTGTTTTATTTAACATAAAAGGTCTCCCCACCTGTCTTGTGATAGAATATAAAACTGACTTTCTGGTTGGTCTTCACTCCAGGGACACATACAGTGAGCACCATAGCACAACTGAGCTTCATAGTCCTCTTGCAAGCAGGAAGGGCATGGAAAGGCCATGACTGGACACTAATGGGCACTGTGCTTGTGCCCAAAAAATCCTGACAGTTGGGACAACTACAGTCACAACATCTCAATCCCAATGTGCCAGCATTTTTAAAGTATCTTAAAGAAGGGGCTTTATGTAAAAATTCTTAGAAGTGGGCTGGGGATGTGGTTAAGTGGTAGAGTGCTTACCTAACATGTGTAAGGCCCTAGGTTCAATTGCCAGTACCAAAAAAAAAAGTCTTGGAACAGTAGCTAACACTGTTAATTATGATAAACAGTGTTTTAGGAAAATGCCAAAGGGCATTTTTCTTTCTTACAGCTAAATTATATTCCTCACATCAAAGTGTCTGCTTGAGTTTTCTTTTTCTGGATTCTGTGGGAACAGAAAACACATTACCTTCTGTGTATAGGTTGGGTCCATTTGTTCTCTGAGGGAAATCACTCGATTTCTGTGAGGTTTTTACACTAACCATTCATTTGTCTTTACTACTTTCTCCTTGGCCTTACAACTCCTTAGTCATAAAACCAAGAATGGGAAGAGTAATCACGATCAGAAAAAGAGATCTCTAAACTATAATTTCTTGATACTTTTCTCCTATCTCTATGTAACAGGACAGCATTTACTCTTAACAATACACGAAAGGGAGAGAAAAGGGAAATTGCATGGAAATGGAGGGAGACCCTCATTGTTATACAAAATTACATATAAGAGGTTGTGAGGGGAATGGGAAAATAAACAAGGAGAGAAATGAATTACAGTAGATGGGGTAGAGGGAGAAGATGGGAGAGGAGGGGAGGGGGGATAGTAGAGGATAGGAAAGGTAGCAGAATACAACAGTTACTAATAGGGCATTATGTAAAAATGTGGATGTGTAACCGATGTGATTCTGCAATGTGTATTTGGGGTAAAAATGGGAGTTCATAACCCACTTGAATCTAATGTATGAAATATGATAAGTCAAGAGCTTTGTAATGTTTTGAACAACCAATAAAAAAAAATACACGATGTTGAATCTCATTAAACTTCTTATAGTATCAATGACTTCTGGAGATTTATTGCCTTCTTTGTACTGGCCCAATTTGATTTCAGTCCTGAAGTTATTTGTTGGCATACATTCTCACTGCACTCTACTCCACATGTTTTCTTATTCCTGTAGACTGCCTCTGAACTCTGGAAGCATAGAGAAGGAAGAGTAGCCAAGTCACGTAAGATCTAGGGACAGCAACTCTTAAGAGGACAGTTAGGAGAATAAATGGCAGAGCTGGGGACAGCCTGTTGCTAAGTAGTTAGGGTACCTAGACCCCTGTCAAGTGAGTCTTGACCGCTCATATCATATAATGCTTAAGACAATGGAAAACAATTCCTTCTACACAAGTAGTCACATGCCCATCATGCAAATGTGATGAGAATAAGAGATAGGCCCAGTTTCAGATAAAACCTTGGTGAAGGGAATTGCTGTTAGAAAGTATGAAACTGACTGAAGCAACGGCTGATAAAGACAGAGTGAATTCAATTTAGGAACCTATGAAAGCTTGGAGAGCCATGGAATTTCCATGCAGACTTTTCTGGAAGAAAGTGGCCATGAAAAGCTCTACAATTTCAAAAATCTTTCTAACAGTGACAAGCTGCCAGTCTGAATCACAGATCAATCCTTTCTATTTCATGAAACACTGACTGTTAGTCACTCCTCCTCAAAGGAGAAGTACTAGAAGAATACAATGTGAACAGACATGTGCCCGAAAGGGGAGTAAAGGTTTTCCTGCATCTTTTATTATTTATTTTATTTTTACCATCTCACACAGGCAGTACTTGTACCCATTCACACATCAGCTATTCATTTTATTCATTTTTATTGAAGCAATAAAAATCAGTTTACAGAGTTTCAAGGCAATTAACCTCTTCTGGACTTATGAAGAAGGATATTATAAAGCACTGCTTTTTCACAAAACTGACGACAGTTTATAATGGAAAAACCTACCACTAAGTAATATGACTACTTTTAGTTCAAGAGCATTTTTAAAAAGAATAATGAAAATAAATGAACTATCAAAGTACTGGGTACTTACCTTCTTCATAATTCACAGAAACTGCTCCAAAAGACTGATTATCATCTTATTGTTAACTTGGTTACATCATTAAATAAATGGAAACCTTAACATTTCAATTATGCTGAAAAACAGAAACATCTGTTTTACAATATTAATTAATTTGAAATAAACTTACCATGTCTTTTTATTCATTGTAAGCTCCATTATCATGCGCCTAAAAATAATCAAAACAGCTTTACAAGCATCAACTTGTTCTTTTAAGAGCATGGGAACTTCAGCACATGGTTCCAGCAAGAAAACGTTTGCAGCATTTGTCAGAAATACCTTAAAAATCAATAACTATACATTAGAAGATATAATTAACCATATACATCTGAACAAATTTTGCCTACAGATAATAATATTAATCACCTACTATTGAATCACCTTTAAGATATCTGTTTCAATAAGGCAAGCAAGATACTAACATATACTCAAGACATTTTTAGTTCATCCCTTAGAATCACTTCAATAGACACCTTTCAAGACCTTGCCTAGGAGGAAAAATGCTATTACATATAACTGGTGTAATTTTAAAAATTTTATGAGTTATAAAAGATTTGAAGACTTCTTTTTGACATCTTCTTAACAGAAAAAAGGAAAAACAAGAATCACTGCATTTAGGTGAAAAAAATTTAGAGTAGAGGGAAGGTAGATAAAGAGAGCCTGTGGACAGACACAGGATTATGACAGAACTATGTGATTTTTAATTGATTCTCCAGGCACATGGACTCCTGCTTCCTGAGGAGCACGGCTAGCACCACCCAAGAAAGGTGTCAACCTTGAGGAACAACAGTGTGCCCAGAAACAGACAAGGCCATATGAACCACACTGCACATCTTCAAGAAACATTTTTTTAACTGTATAAAGATATTATGTAGTAGAATATAAAATAATATAAAACAGATTACAAATAAAATATACATAATAATCAGCTGACTAATCCATGCTCTACCCTAGTCTGTTAAAATCCCAAGTTCACCATCCTTTACCAGCAGGGTATCTCAGGAAAAAATGACCCTGGTTCCTATGTAGAGAGTTACTACTTAGAAACACACGGTAAAATGCAGATGACACTAGTGGCCCATCAATCTCAGATATTCTGAGTTGTCAATCTGCTGATGAGGATAGATCGGCTTCATCTATCTAAAGATATATTCCTTCTTAGGGCTCCTTTATGTGCAACAGTACAAATACACAAACAGTGCTTCTCTGGCTCACTAGTGGATGGATTTCAAAATAAATATACAGATCCAATGATTAATATTAAAAATACTCCATGCCTGACTTCTACATGGGATGCCCAATTGGATATAACTATAAACTCGGGCGAAAGAAAGCTAGGGAGCCAGGGAACAGGGGAATAAGAGGTACCCTATATTTTCACTTATACTCCTAATTGCCTTCAAGCTATATAGGACCTTAGAGGTAATCTCCCAATCTCCATTTCTTTAATAAAAGTCCTGAGATCTAGGGAAGTTAAATAAGGAGCCAAAACTGTTCTTTCCAATGTTTCCAAATCGTATGGGCTCTACTTCACATGTTCATTCAGACATATAGCCAAAAGCTATTACATTAGTCATTGTTCTTTATAAATATAGGCAATTTTTAAGAGGAATATTACTTATAAGATATATAATCACCAAACTTGCCTTACAAATTAGCATCCAAGTAACTTCTCCCATGTATTTGAAAGAAACTTTCAAATCTCAGACATTTCACATTTACTGTGTAATAACTCCTCTCATAAAACTGCAAACAGTTCTCATGTCTTTTTGACTAGGAAAAAATAACTTTAACAATTATAGCTGGAAACTAAATAGAAAATTAGAATAAGAATTTAGAAGCTAAATGGTAAAATACTACCAGGTGGCTAAAAATATAACCACATTTAATATGATATTATTCCTGCTAAACAATATTCTCAAAATGATTCCTCCAACTGGGGAGGGGGGTCTTCCTGTCCTGGTCAGCAGCATACCTGCAGCATAGCCTGGGCACCAGCTTTCACATTTGTATTGTCCTCTTCTGTCACACATCCTCTGCTCATGGCACTTGTGAAAGAGTATGTGCGTCCCCAACTGGAAGATCGTTTATGACCAGAATTTTCAGACGAGACCTTCAGAAAATAACAATCCATTAACAAAGTGCAAAGAGGCATATGTTTGAGCATTTAATTTCTTTTCTTTCTGGGTTTATTTTTTTTTTCCAGTACTGGGGATTTAACCAGGCCCTTGTGCATACTAGGCAAGCACTCTACCACTGAACTATGCCCCAACTCAACACATTTAATTTCTTACATCCGTTGAAATTCACAAGAAAACAGGTTCTGAGAGAGCAATTCTTTTTCTGTTTAGGAAAATATGATCTCTATTTGTTCGCCACTCTACTTCTAGCACCCAAAATAGTGGATATCTCTTAGTATATGCTGAAGGAATGAGTCATGTTTGTCTAATGCCTGAGGGAGCAAAAGAGACAGGCCTCTAAAATACACAAATTTCATTTGTTTGCTTACTCATTTCAATATCATGACTAGTTATTAAAGTGATTTCAACAATACAGAAACATAAAATTATGGAATTAATACAGATATTTAAAAGTAATATGGCTTTGATTAAGAATTTTAAATATTTTAAATTAGTTTCAAAACAGCATGCCAGAAATATAAATATGACTTAAGTTTCCTTTGTGTTTCAGGAAGGGTTGCACCTATGGTTTTAGATTTATCCAACCTCTTGCTTTATCTAATATGGATAGCAGCCCTTCAGGAGGACAGCATTCAGTGCTCCTTCTTGATGGTGCAGGCAACACTTGCTATTTATTTGGCTAGTCCTTTCAAATGTTTAACACCCAATTGCTTCTTGTACAGTTTAATGCACAAGAAAATTCTGAAAAAAACATTCTAAATTTAGTTCCTCCAAATGCTATTTATTTAAACAAGTTGAGGAGAAAGCAGTGTCTTCTTTAGTTTCACACAGAGACCTGTGAAATATGATGGCTTGTTAAACAACCCTCTTAGAACACTGACTAACAATGACACCATGCATATGGCCCTAGCCTGAGGTTTAGGAGACGACTGTGATATAGATCAGAACACAGAGGATGTCTCTTTGAAGCAGGTCCTCACAGAACTCTTCTACTCATCAAACAGCATATGAGATCTGCCTGCCTGTGTCCCACTAAGTGGGACTCTTGACTGAGCAGATTTTCTTTGCTAAAATATATATACTCCCAACTCAAAAGACAGGCACTGTATTTACCTCCTTGTTGTCAGTCTCTGAAAATCCTAATTTTTCAGCATCTTCTTGGGCAACATCTTTTTTATCTGGTTCCTCCATGAACACAGGTTTGTCCTGCAGGATCCACATTCTGTACACTTGAACTACTTTTCTTGTTACAGCTATTTCACAGGAAGGCAGCAAAAATGCCTGAAAGGAAAGAGAAAACTCCCTTTAACTCTACCTGAGGTCAGATCACTTAACAGACATTTCCAGTGACCATCACTAATTTCAGAAAAAGAGATTGTAAATATACCACAAAAGTCCACACATCTCTGTGTGGACTTTTAAAGAACAGAAGATGTTCTCATAACTGGGCCAGGAAACATAATGAAGTTTAAAAACAACTTCTATATTCTGAGTCATATTTCCACAAAAAAAAAAAAAACCAAATCATACCTGTAAAGATTTTTTGACATCACATTGATGGCTTGAATTGGCCCGGGTTGGAGTACTTATAACACAGCACTACAAATCATTATTTTGCTTTATTTGTTTAATCTTTGCGTTTTGCTGGCCTTTTTTTTCCCCTTCTTTTCCTTTCTTCTCAGCTTTCAACATCAGAATGACACTAAGTACAGTTGCCACTATTAATAAGAGCCACTGGCCACTTGTTAGCATTATGCATACTTATAAGCACTTTATAGTATTAAAGAACCACCTTACATATTTGCACATAAGGCTTTTGAATTAATGTGATCAGATTCCAGAAATATAGGATTTAAAGGGGAAATTAATTTGCCTTTTGCTTTTCAAGTTTAAGAACTATTTTTGCATGCAAGGTGGGCAGGAAAAATAGGTACCCCAAATTTGATGACTGCTTTAATGTCACAGATAATAACACTAAGCCTCAGAGTACTAAGGATAATTTCCAAAGGTTCTAAAGTTAGTAATCCTCAAATTCAGGTCTTTATATCAAGTCTCTGGGACTTGTTTTTATAGCAATCTTAAGGTTCCTGCCAGAGGATGCCATTATAAGCAGATTTCACTTTAACATGGATACATGCTTTCATGGTTTGGATATGAGCTGTCTCCCAAAAAGGTCATGTGGGCTGATATAGGGGTGTTCAGAAGTGACATGATTATGAGAGTTGTGGACTAATCCATTTCATGGATTAATAATTTAAATGGATAAATGAGTGGTAACTGCAGGCATGTGGAGCATGGTTGGAGGAAGTACATCACTGGGGGCATGCCCTTAAGGATTATATTTTTGTCCCTGGCTCCTTGCTCTCTTATTTCCAACTGCCATGAGATGAGAAGTTTCCCTCCACCAAGCCCTTCCACCTCAGGCCCAGAGTAGGAGTCAACTGACTATTGACTGAGACCTCTAAAACCATGCGCCCAAGTAAACTTTTTTCCTCTAAGTTGTTCTTGTCTGGTATTTTGGTCACAGCAATAAAAAGATAACATATATACAATTTGTAAATTTCCATGGGTGATGGTTACATCATATCAAATTCTAGAACAGAGGAGTTTGTGTTATAATAAGACTATAATGTATCAATGTATCAAATATACTGAGGTACAGTTCAAGGAAGCTTAACATACACACACACACACACACACACACACACACATACACACAAATGACCAAGTACAAGGGTATCCCATTCTAATGATCTTCCTGAAATTTTATTACAAAAATTTTCACTTATAGATTTTTACAGTGAATGCTCATATAATCACTGCCTTGATTCCACCATAAGACACTGCTGTATTTGCTTTATCACACATTTATCTGTGAATTTACCCCTTTTACATAACTTTCATTAAATCTACTTTATATTTGATGCATTTCAGTTAACTGCAAACACTGGTACTCTCTTCATCCATCAACTCTTCAGCATGCATATCACTGACTAGAGCTCAACATTACTTTATTAGGTAAAATTTACAAACAATGAAATGCAAAAATCTTAAGAAAACTATTGAATCAGTTTTGACAAATATAGACAACCATGTAACTCAAGTCCAATATAAAAGTATGGTACATTGTCCTACTCCTGGAAAGCAAATAATAACTCCTTAAAAAGAAAATAAAATCATGGTAAACCAAAAATTATTTCTACGAACAACCTAGTTAATATCATATATAACATATTAATAAAAATCAGAAATATGAGCAAAGATGTCAATTCAAACAAAACCACAATTTAAAGAATTGACAATAGTTTAAAAACATAGAATATCTAAGTAATGAGAGTATCAAAAACTGAAGTAAATAAAACTTTAAAATAAAATAACCAAAAGTAATAACTCAGTGTATATCAACATAAACAAAATAGACACAGTTGAAGAAAACACTGGGAGAAATATCAGAGGAAAATATCCAGAATGAAGCAAGGAAAAACAAAAGATATTGCTTCTTATTTATACACGCTTTTGGAGAGAAAATACAATGAAAAGGTTACTCTATATGTATGGTTTGAAGGAAGAAAAAAAAAAGAAAATAATATTAGAAGAAAGAACGGCTGAGAGTTTTGCAGAATTGGTGAATGGTATCAATCCACAGATTCAAGAATCACATACACACACAAAAAAAATCAAGATGAATACAAAGCATATTACCATAAAAGCAATGAAAATCAAAAATAATCCAAGAATTTTAAAGGAGACAGAGACCAGGTGTGGTGGCAGACATCTGTAATGCCAGCAATTTGGGAGGCTGAGGCAGAAAGTTCGAGAGCAACTTAGGGAGACCCTGTCTCAAAATAAGAAGTATAAAGGATTGGCTAGGTAGCTCAGTGGTTAAGTGCCCTAGATCCAATCCCCAGTACCGGGGGGGAAAAAAGACATTTCCTCCAAAGTAAAGACTACACGACTTACCATGACTTCTCAAGTGGAAGCCACTGAACAGTAATGAGTTATAAACAATGAACAGTAATGAACAAAATTATTTGAAGTTCAGAAAGCAAATAGTTAATAATGGTAGAATTTTACACCCAGAAATAATATACTTCAAAAATGAAAGCAAAATACAGACATTTTCAGATAAGAAAAATGTGTTACCAAAACACATGAACTAAGGTAAATATTAAAAAATTATCCCCTTGGGCAGAACCAAATTATCCTCAGTCAGAGATTAGGGAAAAAATAAAATATAACAAAAGGGATTTGTATAAATGCAGACAGTAAAGTATATGATGATATATATGAGTAACTGGATAAAATGATGATGATGTTTCTGAAATATATAAATTAAAGAATTGACAATAGTTTAAAACATAGAATATATATATTCTACACATAAAATAGAATTTGAATAGATAACAAAGGCAGGAAAACTGAGAAGGAATGAATGGAACTAAAAATTATTAATTACGTTGAAGTTATACTAAATTTAAGTTAGGGATACATGTTGTTAATCATTAAAATAACTACAAATTAGTATAATACTACTAATCTAATTAGAGGAGAAAAATGATATACTAAAAACATGAAAACTGAAAGAACTCAACACAATTAAAAAGTAAAATGGCAGACACCACACTTAAACCCAATAGAAGCAGTTGCTGTGTTATATGTGAATGGAATAATGTTCCAATTAAAAGGCAGAGGTTATAACATTGGATTTAAAAAACAATTCAAGAGCTGAGGATATAGCTTAGTGGTAGAGGGCTTACTTAGCAAGCATGGGGCCCTATACTCAATGCCAGTACCACAAGAAAAAAATGAAAAACATTTATTCATGATTCATAAGAGAATAACCAAAACATATGGATATGGGGAGGTTGAAAGTCAAAAGGAAAAATGTATAGCATGTGAACATTAACCAAAAGAAAACTGGCAGAGCTATATTAAGAATTTGAGGCAATATTAAAAAAAAAAAAGCATTACTAAAGAGAGAAGCTGCTTTTTTGGGAGGGGGAAGCCAGGGATTGAACTCTAAGGGGCTTAACCACTGAGCCACATCCCCAGCCCTTTTAAAATATTTTATTTAGAAACAGGGTCTCGCTGACTTGCTTAGGGCCTCGCTAGAAGTTTCTTAAATTCGATCCAGAGGAACATACAACAATTCTAAATTTGAACTGCAGCTAATGTTTTGCCAAAAATACAGCAAACACTGATAGACTTTCAAGGGGAAAAAAGGGAAATTCATTATCATAACAGTTTACTCTCAGCAACTAGAACAGCAAACAAAAAAGAATGCATAAGCCATTCTCACTAGACTCTCCATGTCTCCCACTCTTACGGTTCTCATTTCTGTGTCTCCGAGGTAAAATCAGAACAGTTTCTTCATCCATTTTATTATATAGAGCTGCATCTAATCTGCTATTAAACTTACCCACTGCAGTTTTCTTTTAACATTCCAATTATTAAATGTTTTTTTCAACATTTCAGAAATTCTATTTTCTCCTGAACAAATATGAATTGGTCATGTGTTGCAGTTTCTTGTTTACTGCAACATTTTCAAACTTGTCTTTAAATTATTTAAAAATGTCAAATCTACTAATTCTATAATTTCAATTATATAACTGAAGTCCTTATGAGGTTTTCCTGCATCTGAATTGTATGACTAAAAAGGTTCTGGCTTACAAATTCCTAAATGAAAGAAAACCAATATTATTAAACCCAGCTCAGCTGCTGATCACATGTTAAAAGCAAAAGAAAAACATTTGCCATCTTAAAAGAACTCATGGAACAGAGTTCCAGACACCCTATTGAAAATACTCAATGACAAACCAAGGCAAACCACAAAGTCAATCAAAGCAAGTATTTTAGAACTATGGAACCAAGAGGAATGATCTACTAAAACAAGAACCAAGTCTAAACAACTCTGTACCTTTACATTCCAAAATCAATTTCAAACGATGAGATAAATTTACACTATAATAAAGTTAGCAGACGGAGAGAGGGGGCTGAAGAAAATATAAGGCTAATTTCATATTTCATAACAGGAATTCAATAGTGCTACCTAAAATTATAACATGTAGTTAAAACATTATTCCAAATCAGGCAGTGTGGTGCACATCTATAATCCCAGTAAATTGGGAGGCTGAGACAGGAGGATCACAAGTTTGAGGCCAGCCCGGACCACTTGGAGAGACCCAATTTCAAACTAAAATTTTAAAAAGGGATGCAGATGGAGCTCAGGGACAGAACACTCCCAGATTACAGCCCTGGTGCCACCAAAAAACCCAAAAAAC